GAAGGAAAGAGATAAGCCATGATGAGAAACAGCTGACACATGTCGGGGAGAGAAACAGAGACGAAAAAGAGGCAGGCAGAGTGACACACACACACACACATACACACACACACACACACACACACAGTCTCAGGGAGAGAGAGAAAGAGAGCTGATGAGCTTCCCTGGGACCCATGCCACCTCCTCTGACATCATGCATTCACCTCGGACAGAGCGAGGAGGGGAGGCTAGGAGACTGGACTCCTGGGTCTCAGAGGAGAGGCTGGGAGCCTTGGTTTATATTTTTTAAAAATACTCACTGAGGATATGAGTTTTCATTGACATTTTTAGAGAGAGGAAGGGAGAGGGAGGGAGGAAGAGAGAGAGAGAGAGAGAGAGAGAGAGAGAGAGAGAGAGAGAGAGAGAGAGATGAGACTGAAATATTGACTGGTTGCCTTCCTTATACTCCCCAACTGGGGGTTGAACCTACAGCCCCACAACCTGACCATGACCTTTTGGTGTATGGGATGATGCTCCAATCCACTGAGCCACACTGGCCAGGGCACACACCTAGGTTGCAGGTTGGATTCCCCATCGGGGCATGTACAGGGGTGGGTAATTGATCCATGTTTCTCTCTCTAAAATCAATATAAAAAAGTGGCTCGGCTCAGTCGATAGAGCGTCAGCCTGCGGACTGAAGGGTCCCAGATTCAATTCCGGTCAAGGGCACATGCCTGCATTGCGGGCTAGATCCCCAGTAGGGGATGTGCAGGAAGCAGCCAATCAATGATTCTCTCTCATCACTGATGTTTCTATCTTTCTCTCCTTCTCCCTTCCTCTCTGAAATCAATATAAATATATATTTTTTTAAGTGGAAGAGGCCTGGAGAGTATCACGTAGAGGAAGCAGCAGGAGAGTAAAGGCTTTGAGATGGAATAAAGTACAGATGGAGCTCAGAGAGCCGACAATGAAGGGGCTTGTGGGTCATGGTGAGTTGGACTCTACCTTGTGGCCAATGATGAACCACTTGGACTTTATGAAGAGATGTGACATAGAACCTTTGTATTTTCAAAAATATCAACCTGGCTGCTCTATGAAGCAAGATAGGAAGCGGCCGTGGAGTCACAAGGGGGCCATTGCTCTTGTACAAATGAGAGATGATGGAGACTAAGGGAAGGCTATTTGGGAGATGGAGATGGTAGCAAGTGGGTGGATTCAAGGTGCGTTTAGGAGGAAAAACCAACAGGCCACGGCGGCGATGGGCTGAACGGAGTTCGTCAACTCTGTTGACAGGGAGCTGGAGATGTTAGGACTTTGCGGCCTCTTGCTCGGTGGACATGGTGCCCTTCGGCGAGAAGACGTGGCCAGATCTGCTGTAAAGCTCACGAGAGGGTGAGAAACCCCGCCGACCCTGATGTCAACCGTAACCCCAAGTGTAGTCTTTACTTTGACACAGCTCTCGGCTCCAGATTTCACACAGGGAGTTTGGTACATGTTCTTTATTCTGTGAATATTTCATTTTACACAGTGAGGATCACATGCATATACTACATTTTTTTGGTGTTTTTTTTTTCTTTTCATTGAACACCCGATAGCATACACATTCTTGCGTGACAACTCTGCACAATTATGATCCTGAACAGTTTCATTCGTATCCTGACCTGCATCCGTTTATTGTTTACACAAACAACCCAATAATTTGGGACGTGTTCAGCGTTTTCTCTCTTTTGCTATGACAAATAGTGTTGTGAGGCATTCAAACCTTGCCCACCCACATTTCTAGAATGACTAGATCGAAAGTAATGCGTAAACCCCTTTCACAACACCTGTAGCAACCCACAGTTCCAGTGGTGGAAACTATGGGTCTCACCACATTTTTACCTGTCCTGGGGGTTTTTTTTTTTTAGATGATTGTAGTAGATTTTAGATAATTTTAGTGTTCAATCAGAATATTGTTGACATTTTAAGATGACTTTGAAAAACAGTCAAGTCACATATGTCTGTAAGTCATGGATGCCTTTATTTTTTTGTGTGAAGTAACTGTTCTAGGGTGTAGGGATGGAGAGGTGGCAGTATGGAGAGATTAGGAATTCCTTTTCATGGTATCACTAATCCACTTGTGGTACGCGCATATACGAGTGTAGAAGGTTGGGTGGAAGGGTGGATGACGAGGGAAATTCCCCGTGGACACCAGGCCTTGCAGAGAACCTTCGCACATCAATGGGCTCCCTGAGTCACCCTGAAGGGGAGAGAGCAGATTAGCTTCCGTTTCAGAGCAACCATCCCTGAAGTCTCATTTACCTTGTAGTTATCAAGTCTTTGTCCTGCCAGAATACAGCCTTCTGCCCTGGCCAATGGGAAGAGACTCATTGTCTCTGTAGACCAATGGGAGAGCAGGAATGGATGCTATCCTGGAGAGGATCAACCAGGTTTTCTGAAGACATTGGCTTGAGTCCTGGCCAATTACAGGGAGGGGGTGGGGCTTTCAGGAAGTCAGAGCCCCATTTATTTTCCACTAGAGGCCCAGTGCACAAAATTTGTGCACTCAGGGAGGGGGTCCCTCAGCCCAGCCTGTGCCCTCTCACAGCCTGGGAGCCCTCGGGGGATGTCCAACTGATGGCTTAGGCATGCTCAGGGCTTCTGGCTGAGCAATGATCCCCCTGTGGGAGCGCACTGACCACCAGGGGGCAGCTCCTGCATTGAGTATCTGCCCCCTGGTGGTCAGTGTGCATCATAGCCACCGATCATTCTACCGTTAGGTCGATTTGCATATTAGGCTTTTATTATATAGGATGGTAAGGGATGCTTTGCCAAGCCACTGGGAGAAGGTGCATTATCTCCAGGAAATCAACACATTTTCTTTCTCTGGGATGTGGGCCAGGGTTGTCCTGGAAACGAGGTGCAGGATCAATGACCCAATTCAAAGGGCCAGTGCAAATGAAAATGGGGCCGCCACGTTCAAGTATATGAGTTTTAACACAGCAGAAAAAATACGTTAAACCAAGTGTGATATGCTCTCAAGCGCAGGGCTCTGTGTCCCTGCACAGCTTGTCCATTCATGAATCAGCTTTCACTGAGGGGGTTGGGGAGACAGGGAGCACCACCCCCATTCTTCAAAAACACTCCGATTCCCAAGATGCACCATCTTGTTGACCCTGGAAAGCTGAGCGTGAACATGTGAAGGAGGAGAGTGGGAATACAAAGAGGCCAACAGTCAGAGAGAAAGGGAGAGAAGGGTGGAGAGAAGAAAGGGAAAGTAAGAAGGGGACAGAGAAGCAGAAGTATTGGGGGTAAGGAAAGAGGAAGAGATGGAGAAAATAGAAAGAGTAACAGAGGCAGAACGAGAGGGAGAGAGAGAAAGAGAGGATACAGAGGAAAACAAAATAAAGTGAGGTGTAAAGAGAGATGAGGGGAGATAATTCTCATGGACAAGAGGGGGTTACAGAGATGAGGAAGGGGGGACAAAGAGGAGGAGGAGGAGGCTCCCTCTTTCCCCAGAGCCAGGATCAGGTACAAAGACATATAAGCAAGCCAGACACTAGCTCCGGACACAACATCTCAGTGATTGCAACAGTATTTTAATGCAATACCTTAGAAATCAAATTTCCTTGGAAAAAAATCCATGACAAACCGGGTATTTTAATTTTAGATAAAGTTGTGGCCATCACTGTGGTTTGATGAACCATTAGGAGCCGGAGACAAATGGAAAATCCAGTCACAATGGACTGCTATTTGTTGAAAATTCTATTTTGTTACATGGATTTTTTGTTTGCAGAGAGTAATTTTTAAATATTGCATTAGATCCTAGCCATAGCGATCAGACAAGAAGAAAAAAATGAAAGGCATCCAAATTGGAAAGCAGGAAGTAAAACTGTTATTATTTGCAGATGGCATGAGATTGTGCATAGAAAACCCTAAAGCCTCCACCAAAAAACGACTAGATTCAATAAATGAATTCAGCAACGTAGCAGGATGCAAAATCAACACCCAGAAATCGATGATATTTTTATACACCAAGAGTGAACTCTCAGAAAGAGAAACGAAAAAACTAATCTCATTTACCATTGCAACAACAAAAGTTAACATACTTAGGAGGAATAAACTTAACCAAGAAGGTAAAAGACCTGTACTCAGAAAACTACAGGACGTTGAAAAAAAGAGATAGAGGAAGATATAAACAGATGGAAGAATACATTGTGTTCATGGATTGGTAGAATCAACATCATTAAAATGTCTATACTACCCAAAGCAATCTATAGATTCAATGCAATCCCTATAAAAACACCAAGGGCATATTTCACAGATCTAGAAAAAAATACCCCCCAAATTTATATGGAACCAAAAAAGACCTTGAACAGCCACAGCAATCTTGAGAAAGAAGAACAAAGTTGGAGGAATCACAATACCAGATATCAAGTTATACTAGAAAGCCACTGTAATCAAAACAGCTTGGTACTGGCACCAGCACAGGCATAGAGATCAATGGAACAGAACAGAGACCTCAGAAATCAACCCAAGCCATTATGCTCAATTACTATGTGACAAAGGAGGCAAGAGCATACAATGGAGTAAAGACAGTCTCTTCAATAAATGCTGTTGAGAAAATTGGACACGTACATGCAAAAAAAAAAAAAAAATGGAGCTAGACACCAACTTCCACCACACACAAGAATAAACTCAAAATGGACAAAGACTTAAATGTAAGTCACGAAATCATAAAAAACCCTAGAAGAAAACAGGCAGGAAAATCTCACACATCTCTCATAGTAATATATTTACCGGCACATGTCCTAGGGCAAAGGAAACTAAGGAGAAAATAAACAAATAGAATTATATAAAAATAGAAAGCTTCTCACAGCAAAAGAAACCATTGTGATAACATGAAAAGGGAATCCACTGCATGTGAGAACGTATTTGCCAACGACACATCTGATAAGGGGCTAATTTCCAAAATATATAGGGAACTCATACAACTTAACAAAAGGAAGACAAACAATCCAGTTAAAAAACGGGCAAAGGACCTAAATAGACACTTCTCCAAACTGGACATACTGCAGGCCAAGAGGCATAGGAAAACACGCTCAAAGTCACTAATCATCCGAGAGATGCAAATCAAAATGACAATGAGGTGTCACCTCACACCTGTCAGAATGGCTATCATCAACAAATCAACAAACGACAAGTGCTGGCGAGGATGTGGAGAAAAGGGAACCCTCATGCACGGCAGGTGGGAATGCAGACTGGTGCAGCCATGATGGAAAACAGTGTGGAGTTTCCTCAAAAAAATTAAAAATGGAACTCCCATTTGACCCAGTGATCCCACTTCTAGGAATATATCCCAAGAAATCAGGAACACCCATCAGAAAGAATATAGGCACCCCTATGTTCATAGCAGCACAATTTACAATTGCTAAGATTTGGAAGCAGCCCAAATATCCCAAATATCAGCAGATGAGTGGATTGAAAAAGAGGTGGCACATCTACACAATGGAATACTACGAAGCCGTAAAAAAGAAAGAACTCTCATCATTTGCAGCTGCATGGATGGACCTGGAGAGTATTGTGCTAAGCGAAATAAGCCAATCAGAGAAATACAAGCATCACATGATCTCACTCATAAGTGGAATCTAATGAACAAAATAAACTGATGAACAAAATAGATCCAGAGACATAGGAGCACAGAACAGACTGCGGAATCTCAGAGGGAAGGCGGGAGAGGGTGAGTGGGTGGGAAGAGATCAACCAAAGAACTTGTATGCATCCTACATAATAAAACCCTAATATGCAAATCGACTGGTAGCTATGACTCGCACTGACCACCAGGGTGCAGACGCTCAATGCAGGAGCTGCCCCCTGGTGGTCAGTGCGTTCCCACAGGGGGAGCACCACTCAGCTAGAAGCTGGGCTCTTGGCTGGCAAGCGCAGCGGCAGGCAGACATCCCCCGAGGGGTCCCAGACTGTGAGAGGATGCAGGCCGGGCTGAGAGACCCCCCCACCCCCCAGTGCACGAATGTCGTACACTGAGCCTCTAGTATATGCATAACCCATGGACACAGATAATAGGGTGGTGAAGGCTTGGGGTGGAGAGTGGCGGCAGGCTGGAAGGGGGGATGGGGGGGGGAAAGGAGGACATATGTAATACTTCCAACAACAAAGATTTAAAAAACCGAATAAAATAAATATTGCATTAGATTATATATTTTGTCCTGGTCACTGAGCTTTTGGTGCCCCCTTAAATGTATGCTTGCAGCCAGTGCCTCACTGCCCTTACCCTCATTTTAGCCCCTTTTTCCAACTCATGTTAGGGACTTTGTGCCCACCCCCAAGGCCAGGCCGGCCCCCGTGGGCTCCCACCCGGACCCGGGCAGAGAACTGAGTAGAGAGAGCCAGGAAAGTGGGGCTGGTAAGGTGTGAGGGAAGGCTCAGCACCAGGGTCAGGCCACCCCTGACAGTGGATGGAGGGGGAGACGGGGCTGAGAGGAAACAGGACCCAGGGCAGGGGAGGAGGGGACTCACTTTGCAGGGGGAGGACTGTCTGTCGGGAGGAGCAGCGCAGAGCATGAATCTCCTCAACATGGTCGGGAAAACCTTCCTGCAGTCCTTGTAGGAGAGGATGCGGACGCGGGAGCACATGAGCTGCGATGTGTTCCTCACTGTGGGGGGAGTTAGGGGGCGGTCAGGGGCTTGGGTGGCCGGAACCCTGGGTGCTGATAAAAGAGTAAGGGAGGGGGGGGGGGGGTCCTGGATGTTGAATAAGGGGAGGCCGGGTGACTCAATGCTATGGTTAAGAAATAGGCCCCAGCGATCGAACTCTTGGATTTGAGGGAGGCCAAAACTGATGGGCCTGGGGGTGAAAAAGGCTGGGGCTTCTGTGTCTATAAAAGGAGGCGACTGGGAGCCAGACATTGTGTGTGTGAGAGCCTGGAGGGTGCTGGGGGCCTGGATTCTTGGGTCTGAGGAAGCACCTGGGGGCCAGGACTCTTGTGTCTGATGGAGGCAGGGGCTGGGTCCTGGACTTGGAAATATCGGGAGATGCACAGGAGAGACAAATATTCTTGGTCTGCATGAGAGGTGGCTGGGGGTCTTGGACCCCTGGGTCCGGAAGATGGAGGTTTGGATTCAAGGATGACGGCAGCGGTTCTCAACCTTCCTGATGCCGCGACCCTTTAATACAGTTCCGCCTGTGGTGGTGACCCCCAACCATAAAATTATTTTCGTTGCTACTTCATCACTGTAATTTTGCTACTGTTATGAATCGTAATGTAAATATCTGATGCGCAGGATGTATTTTCATTGTTACAAATTGAACATAATGAAAGCATAGTGATTCATCACAAAAACAATATGTCATTATATATGTGCTTTCCGATGGTCTTAGGCGACCCCTGTGAAAGGGCCGTTCGACCCCCAAAGGGGTTGCGACCCACAGGTTGAGAACCGCTGGATTACGGGTTAAGGGGAAAGGGGGTGTACAGCAGAGTCCTCAATCCGCTGGGAAAAGGCCTGGTCACTTGGACTCCGGGGTCTGAGGCGCGGAGGGTTTTGAAGGTCTGGGATCTTGGGTTTGTTACCTGTATCCTGTGTCTTAGACAAAAAGGGAGCTGTGCGCTGGGCTGTTCCTGGGCCTCAGGGGGCAGCCTTACCTACATCCACGGTGGTGCTGCCCCAGCCAGAGACGGTACAACTGGTCCCAGGCTGTTTGCACCTGGAGGGCACTCCGGCTGTCCTCACGGTGGGCGAGAGCGTGGCCGGGCTGCGCAGCTTCACCAGCATGATGTCATGGACCTGTCTGGCCGCGTCAATATACCGGGGGTGGACGAAGGACTGTGTGGCCCTGATCCTCTGGGCATTTCCATCAACCAGAAGATCACTGCCCATTTGCACGATATACTCACTTGAAAAAAAAAAAAAAAAAGTAACATTGAGAGGGAGACTCTGCGACTGGGTAGGGCAGTGGCTGGCAAGCTCATTCGTCAACGGAGCCAAATATCAACAGGACAACGATTGAAATTTCTTTTGAGAGCCCAATTTTTTAAACTTAAACTATATAGGTAGGTACATTGTTATTAACTTCGTTAGGGTGCTCCTAAGCTGGCCTTTGCTAAAAACATCCTCAATCTGATTGAGGTACGTTCGCTGAGGTCGACCCCTTCCGACTCTCCCATCCACACTCGTCTCGTATACTTGTTTCGTCGTCCATCTCCTTTCGTTCATCCTCTCTATCTGTCCACCCCCCACTTCTTCCACCGCCACTTCTTCAAAATAGACTCGCCCAGGCCGAAAGCCGACTTCTGTGCGTGGGCCATGGAAGTTTCAGTCGCACTGTACGTGCGCGCCCGCATGTGGTATTTTGTGGAAGAGCCACACTCAAGGGGCCAAAGAGCTGCATGTGGCTCGCGAGCTGCAGTTTGCCGACCACTGGGGTAGGGGAACATTGGCCCAGAATGAGGGGGACAGAGAACCGGAGAGAGGTAGCCAGAGACCTATAGTGTGGAGGAGAGAGAGACACACAGAGAAAAACCAAGATAGAGAGAGAGAGAGAGAGAGAGAGAGGCAGGGACAGACACCCAGAGTGAGAAACGAGTCCCTGTGGCTCCCCTGCCACATACCTCTTGCGACAGTGGGCGACGCTGAGCACCCAGTCCTTGTCGACTAGCACCCCTGCACACTGGATCCCACGGTCCGTAAACAGGGCCACCTGCCAGGGTTGGGCGCCTCTTGGACATGGAACTCCATTAATGATCCTCTCCCCATTTCCGTGGGCTGGATGGAGACGTGGGGAGAGCGTGGGTAGCGGGCCTCAGGGGATGGATGCCCAGAGACAGTGATGGAGAGAGGGACAGACAGAGAGGCGTGGAGAAGGGCAGAGGCGGACACAGGGCCCAGGGCAGAGACAGCTGCAGATGGAGATGGGGAGAGACGGAGGGAGGCTGCTCAGAAGCCCAGGGCAGCAGCTGGTCTGGAGGCAGCCCCAGCTTCTGATGAGGGAGACACTGAGGGCGGGAAGCAGCCTGGAGGGCACCCAGAGCCCAGGAGTCAGGAGGGAGCAGGAAGAAAGGGGCACAGCCCAGGGGGTGGGTCTCCATGGGAGGAGGCTGCTGCAAGGGAGGGTCCTGACTCAGGGGCTCCTTGGAGAGAGGGGGCCTGGAGAGGGGAGGTGGGGGACTGTGAGCCCCAGGGCAAGGTCAGGACTCCCAGGCTGGTCCTCACCTTCTTGTCCAGCAGATCCCAGGGTGAAGGACAGCAGTAGGAGCAGCAGGGGCTGGAGCAGGGGACCTGCCATGTGTCCTGTCTGAGCCTCTGTGGCTGCCACAGAGGAAGGGCCTCCTGTGCTGGGGCTGGAAAGACAGAGAGTTCAGGAAGCAGGACTCCTGGTCTCCAGGTCCCTTCTCTTTGCTCAGACCCAGGAGCCCCCACCTCCTCCCTCAGACCCAGGAGCCCGTCTCCCCTCACCTCCTCCCTCAGACCCAGGAGCCCCAGTCTCCCCTAACCTCCTTCCTCAGACCCAGGAGCCCGTCTCCCCTCACCTCCTCCCTCAGACCCAGGAGCCCCAGTCTGTACCCACCTCCTCCCTCAGACCCAGGAGCCCCAGTCTGTACCCACCTCCTCCCTCAGACCCAGGAGCCCCAGTCTGCACCCACCTCCTCCCTCAGACCCAGGAGCCCCAGTCTGTATCCACCTCCTCCCTCAGACCCAGGAGCCCCAGTCTGCACCCACCTCCTCCCTCAGACCCAGGAGCCCTAGTCCAGTTCCTCAAACCCATCCTTCCTCAGACTCAGAAGTCCAGGCCCAAGACTCCCTTTCACTCTGAACCCAGAAATCTGGCTTCCTATTCCCGCCCCCCCCCCAATTCCTTATCACAATTTCTTTTTAGGTTAAAGACCAAAGAGTCCAGACCTCAAGCCCCTCCTTCTCAGAACCGAAGGTGCAGGCCTCGGACCCACCTCCATCCAGACACACCTGCCTCCCCACAGAAGCAACTTTTCTCACCTGCAGGGCGCTCCAGAGCGGGTGGGAAGTCAGCCGTGTCCAGCCCTGTGCAGCGTGGCCCTCTTATAGCTCACTTGCCCCGCCCCAACCCCCAGGGACCTGGAATTCAGGTGCAATTAGTGTCCCTGGAATTCTGGGACACTTCTCCCTGCACTTGCTCTTCCGGAATCCGGGAGGCAGCTAAAGCCATAGGCCCGCACGGCCGCCACTCGCACCCCTCGAGGACGGGGTGGGACAGTACCCAGGGGTCTGGCCCCAGCACATTCTAGCGCCACTGTTCCTGGTGGCAGGTGCCACGGGAGGGACCGGTGCTGGCGCTGAGGGGCAGGAGCAGGCATCAAGGACCTGCACAGCTCAGGGAATGGATTTTGTCCCGGGTCTCCCTCTTCTTCTTTCTTTCTTTCTTTCTTTTTTTCTTTCTTTCTTTCTTTCTTTCTTTCTTTCTTTCTTTCTTGTTATTATTTTTTTGGTTAATACTCACCCAAGGATATTTCTCCATTGATCTTTTTAGAGGGAGTGGAAGAGAGAGAGGATGTCAGAGAGAAACATCGATGTGAGAGAAAGACATCGTTTGCCTCTTGCACGTGCCTCGACCAGGGCCCAGGCCAGGAGGAGCCTGCAACCTAGGTACGTGCCCTTGACCGGAATCAAACCCGGGACCCGCTGGTCTGCAGGCCAACGCTCAATTCACTGAGCCAAACCGGCTAGAGCGTCTAGGATTGTTTTTTCTCACTCTTGTGCCCTCTCAGGGGTGGCCTAGACCCCACATCCTAACTCTGAGTATCCCGTGAGGGGGTTGAACTGGAGAATGAATGCTCCATGGAGCCCCTTCATTTTATGTCATTTTTAAGGCTTCCTTCCTAATTTAAAGATTTCTTTTTTCTTTTTTTTTGGTTCCCATAGCCAAACTCTTCCTTACTGAGACCTCAAGGTCGAGTCCAAATTTCACCTTACGTCCCAAATCCAATCAGAAACCATGAATGTAAATCTAATTCTAACTAGAGTCTCCAGGTGGAATCCAAATTAACCAATAAACCCAATCCTAGTCCCAGGCGTAGCTCATTCTCCAGACCTCCTCTCAGACCCAATCCTTTATGTACCCATGAAATTCATATCGAGCACCAACTATATACCAGGCTGGGATCGGTGCTGAGGATTCAGTGGTGCTCAAGTCAGGACACACAGAGTCCTTTCCCTCAAAATACAGTCAAATGTAAAAGGAAAATAATCAAATCACTGATATGCAAATGTAAATTTACAAGTTTAATGTGTGCTCTGAAGTAAATGCGCAAAGGATTCTGAAAGCACTTCCAGGGGGATTTTGAACCAAGAAGCAACAAATAGCGAGAGAGGGAGGAACAATAAGCATACACTAAAAAAAAAAAAAAAAAAAAAAAAGTAAAGGACTTGCAGGGCATCAGGTAGGGAAAACAGCAGGTGCAAAGGTCCTGGGGTAGAAGGCGACCATGGATGGAACTCAGAGAGTGAAGGACCTTGTGGGTCCTGGTGAGTTGGACTTTATCTTATGGACGATGATGAATCACTTGGACTTTGTTCAGAGGAGTGACATAAAACATTTGTATTTTCAAAATATCGATCTGGCTGCTCTATGAAAAATATTCGGAGTGGATGTACAATCATGAAGGGGCCATTGCTATATTCCAAACGAGAGATGATGGTGACTAAGATGAGGCCACTGGGGAGATGGAGATGGCAATAAGGGGATGGATTCAAGGTGTATTTAGGAGGGAAAATCAAGAGGCCACCGCGATGGATTGAATGGAAGTTGTGGTGAGGGAGATGGAGATGTTGGGGCTTCAAGGTCTCCTGCTTGATGCAGACGGTGCCATTCAACGAGAAGGCATGGCCAGATCCGATCAAGAGCTCACGAGAGGGTGAGAAACACTGCAGTCCCTGATTTCAACCATAATTCCAAATCCAGTCTTCACTGGACACAGCTCCCAACTCCAAACTTTACACAAGCCCGTGTCTTTACCTGCAACCTCAATGGTACTTCTTTATCCTTGACCAAGACCAATTCAGACCTCAGCGTGGCACCTACTTAACTCCATCGCTCACATCAAGCAAACTTGGTCATGACTCTCGACTGGGAACCTTGAATCCCTGAACAGAAGTCAAGCTCAACCTTGACCCCAACACCAGGTGCCACTATATCCTGAATTCCAAAAGCCCGACCTCAGGCACACCTTGGACGTTAGTTTTGCATCACTTCCTCCCCTCCCCCCCCTTCATATTCCAGGAAGTCCATGTCACCTTCCTCCTCGTAAACCCATCTCACATTTACATCTGACTCCAATCCTAACACTCTGACCCAAATCCAAGATCTATTTTCATTCCAAACCGAATTTCTACCTGAAACCTCAACATTGTTTTCATGCCCAACTCTTACCCCCCAACCCTTCATCACCTAACCTAACGTCTACAAACTAATAACATACTAACGTTGTCCCTACACTGACTACGTAAATCCAAGCTAAGTTCCCCAGACCTACTTCTCAAGGCAAATGGAAGGATTAAATAAAAATGATGAAAGAGAAATGGGTGGCAGGCAAGAATTATACAACGGAACCACCCACGCACACTTGAAAGCTGTGGTCGGCAAACTCATGAGTCAAGAGAGCCAAATATCAACAGTGCCACGATTGGAATTCCTTTTGAGAGCCAAATTTTTTAAACTTAAACTATCTAGGTAGGTACATTGTTATTAACTTAACTAGGGTACTCCTAAGGCTTAGGAAGAGCCACACTCAAGGGGCCAAAGAGCCGCAGGTGGCTCGCGAGCGGCAGTTTGCCGACCACCGATCCAGAGAATAAAGCAGCTTCGATTTCTTGTTGCGCGTTCTGGGTGGTGTGTCAGTCACTTGTTGGACCCCGTCACTATTCCTCACCTAAGTGCCAGTGTCATTGTCTTCCTCGTTTGTGTAGATGAGAACACGGAGGTTTTAAAAAAGGGGAGGTAATTTAAGCAAAGTCATTCTGCTCAGGAGTCAGAAGGGCCAACCTGTGAACGTTGGGGACCGTTCATTGTATCACAGCCCATTTTCTGCGAAAGAAATTTCCCCGGGAAACCCTCCCACACTCTCAGAGTCTCATTCGGCCGAAAACAAGAACCACATGAGTCTATGAATGATGCCAAAAGGGATGCGAGGGTAGAATAAAAATATGATGTTTTTCCCCCCCTCCTGTTCCCTTCCTTTCTCCGTCCTTTCCCCGAACCCTTTTACTAACAGAATATGTAACTGACTAACCAACGTGTATGTTTAGCCTTATGTTTTCGCCCAGATTTTGCTGCAGTTCTCAGTTGACCAGGCAAGAACAAAGAGACGCTTAACCCAGCCCTGAACTCACACGCCTGGCCACCAGGCATGCGGAGACCGATCGATTAGGTACAGAATCACCAATGACACACACCCGATCCCCGCCTGGCTGGTTTCGGAACGCTGACCATCCGTTTCCAGGCACCAGTGATGAAGACATTCATCAAGACCCAAGAACCGCCCCCAGGAACTCAAATTCCAGGACCACAAACCACCAGAAACCCCTTGCACTCCCTCCCTACCTTAAGCTCTCTCCTAGCAAGCTTAAGGGGGCCTTTGTTTCTGCTGGGTTTGCTTAACGGGGTCTCTTTGGAGCTGTTATGTTTCCTCCACGTCAGCAGAGTTTAGAATGAGATCCACTCAGGATGGAAAGACACGGGCAGAGATGAGAAACAGCTTAGGCCCTGACCAGTTTGGCTCGGTGGATAGAGTGTCGGCCTGTGGACTGGAGGGTCCCGGGTTCGATTCCGGTCAAGGGCATGTACCTTGGTTTGGGGCACATCCCCAGTGGGAGGTGTGCAGGAGTCAGCTGATCGATGTTTCTCATTGATGTTTCTAACTCTTTATTACTCTCCCTTCCTCTCTGTAAAAAATCGATAAAATATATTTTTTTAAAAATAGTGGTTGGTCTGATGGTGGAGGGGGTTGAGGGCCTGGGCCATTTCCCCCCAGTATCCGGGTACTTGCTCCTGCAGGTGTGGAAAAGTGAGCAATCACCTGACAGAGAAAATACATAATTACTCCTGATGCACAAGAACAATGGACAGGGTTCCCTCGAGGTGAAGTTAACTGACCATACAGGGCTGGGGCTGTGGCTTCCCGCCATGACCCACTCAGTTGGGAAATTTTTAACGATCCAAACATCCCGGGTAATTACTTTTAGTTACTAAGTTTGTCTTACCGGGTAGTGCCATTCTTGTTCACATTTCTCCTCGTCTTATCTCGCACTTGAAAA